GTCCGTAATGCACACCCGCCTTCAGAGTCAAGAACCAATCAAATTTCGTGAAGACAAGCGACCTGAGAGCGCGATTCGCAACGCTGTGATCGCTATCGCGTCCCGTGTGTCGGGTTTCACCCTGGCTGCGATGACAGCCGTTAATCGCTGTATTTTTGTCGCTGCCCGTGTGTYGAGCCCTTAAGATGTTCTGGTATGTACATGAGAAGTGACTTTAGAATGGTCATTAAAAAACAGCTCTGTTCTYGGTAGTCTACTTGAGTAGAGTGATAGTGAAACAAACCATATTCACATCCATGATGTCATAAATGTACTAATCTCTCCGGGAAATTATTCTGTAGATGCTTTATAAATATAGACATGATCCACAGAGACAGTTCTGAGTGGAAGCTGTTTTGGTGAAGGTATTAAACATGAGGCTGTTGGACCATTATGCTACGTTCACACCAAACGCCTTTTGAGCTGCAGGAGTGGCCGGTTTATATGCAAAGTCTATGGTGGAAGCACGTCTAGGGGTCTCGCGGCACGTCTAGGCCGTTAAGCGCGGTGAGCAAGGAAGCGGAAGGTGAGGTTGAGCTTTTTCCATGCGTGCGGTACGTCCAAAGCAGCYGACGCTCGAGTTCTAAAATCTGAACWTTTGCTGCTCAACRCACGGCGTCAACCAATCAGAGAGACTCATTTTCCCACATGACTGTTTCCTGAATGTTTCCCACTAACCTGAAAGAGACCGTCTGCAGTTGGTGTTCTGACTGGAGATACTGTATCAGCACCGATGTGGGTCAGCAGCTCATTAAACTGACAGCGGTGTTAAACTCGGTACAAAAAAAATAGTCTGTCAGCTTGCAGCTCCTGGAGTGGTGAAACTAACTGAACAAACCACCTCTAAATTATCTGGTGAATTAATTATCTGGTGTGCACATTCGCTTACTCTTTAGTAAATAAAGCTAAGCCATTTTCTTTATTTTCTTTATTTCATCCGCCGTTAAAGACAGACCGGGAAAAAACCAAGATGCTCCTCCCTCTTCAGATGCACGTCTAGTCTCTGTCCCGGTCTGAACGTAGCGCGTCCAACTGGAGGCGTCAGGAGCGTTTTAGATGCTCAAAACTCGTTCGGTGTGAACGTAGCTTAAGGCAGTGTATAACAGATAGGACAACATCTGTGCCAAATTTCATCAAGATCTGACCATGTTTWTGGATGTACAGGCTTGAAATAACAATTTTCAGTCGTGTTTTGATTCTTTTGCTTATTGCAAGGTGGTAGTTGCATAAAAACACATAGTAATGTCATGAAATGATAGTCCTTTGTCAAAGCTAAACATCAACAACAACAAAAATGAAGATATAAGCATTTTTGTATGCCCAGACACCAGCTTTTAAAATAGTGCCCCTTACTTGCGATATGGGGTCTACTGCAAAACATTTTGCTAGCCCAGTGTAGGTCGGCCACATCATGCCATGTGCAGTTGTTTCTGTGCTACGATTGACCAAAAATCTCTGAGGGGAAAAAAAACTGTACAACAACAATATGACCTCCACTTTGTGTAGCAAGGTCATAATTAGGGATGCACGATATTTCGGTAYTGATATCGGTATCGGCCGATATTGGTAATTTTTTAGAATATCGGTATCGGTCCAATAYGTAAAACAGGGCCGATATTAATRTCCGATACTGATTTCCCACTTTTTAGCTTTGTGCTTCTGTTTTGGGWGRGGAGCTGGTTGGTTGAGCAGCATCTGTTTGATCATGATAGTGATATTGACGCTGCGCAGCCAGKAATAACAGAAGTAGAGCCAWGTCAGAGGTCTGGTTGTTTATTTACAGTATCAAAAAAAGACCCAAGTGTGTTTTTGTGTATCTGTATAATATAATTTGTATGTTTGTGTAATATCGGTAAATATCGTTATCGGCCATAACACCAATAATTATATCGAATATCGATATCGGCTGAAATTTTCATATCGGTGCATCCCTAGTCACAATAAATATGTGGCGTAAGGTGGGGACAGATGATTTTGTAAGAATATTTAGTGTTCGTTAACTGAAATCGTGACGAAACCACATGAATTTTGAATAGATAATGTGAAGAGAAGGACCATACAACACTAGTGACTGGAGTGAACGGTGGTTGAATGCTCTCTGTGCAGGCATGATACCAACGCTGAATGAAAACCGGAAGTCCCGGTCTACATATACATGTTTCTTCAGTGCCTGGTATGCCCACTRCAGGCCTACGGCTGAATCGCAGACACTCTCAACAGCAATGCTTTCCTGATGTTCTTATTAACGGTTTTATTATGTGTTGTCATGGTGTTTCAGGAATGTAACTAAACCTATTTTAATCAAAACATTGCAATAGTTACATAATAGTTTATAAGAATCAATACTTAATAAGGAAAACTAAGAAAAATGGTGTGGTGCTTTGTAATCAGTGTCTAAATGACTAATAAATTCCTTCAACTCCCCCTGGTCACATGACACAGTCATGTGACCATTGGATAAACTTGTGTTTCATTGAGGGTCTACATTGATTGATTCATTGCAATAAAAAAAAACAGAAAAACTGGCACTCACCTGGCAGCCCCTCTTCTCAATCTCATCGATGCACTTGCTGATGATCAGCGGCACTATCAGCCCCGTGTTCTCCCTCTCCACCACTCGCCACACCTCCACGCCGAACACCTGCGGCTCGCGGTCCCTGTCCGGCCCGCCGTCYAGCGAGTTCTGCCACTGCTCCATCAGGTTCAGCTTGACGTAGATCAGTCCCCGTGGCTCCAGCTTCACGGCCAGCTGGTGGGTGCGCGTCACCCTGAAGAGCGTGGGCAGCACCACCGTGCCGTGGCAGCAGACGCGGTTGCGTTTCGGCGTGGGTTCCCAGCTGAAAACCACAAGCTTCAGGTGCTGAGCGTTCTCCAGCTCGATGTTGAAGGTGTGGTCCATACCCAGGAAGGAGGTTCGGCAGGTGAGCAGGGCCGTGCGCGCTTTGTTGACTGAGTCCACCTGAATGGCGCAGTAGACGTCTCGCGAGTCGATGCGCGGCGGTTTGAGGTCCTCGGCGCCGTAAAAATGGAGACTCATCAGTCCGGAGATGTACTGGCTGCACTTGGGCTGATCCGTGAAGCTGTAATGACGGAAAGCATCGATGTCCAGCTCCGTGCCGTTGAGTCTGGAAGTTCCACCTCCCTCGGTTTCTTTTCCTTTGCCCCCTTTTCCCTCTGCAGAGCCGTGTTTTCCTGATTTAGTCACCAATTCCGGTGAGTCCCCATCACTGAGGTAGCCACCTTTACTGGCGGACTTTGAGCTGCCGTTGCTTTTCTTTTTACTGAAGCTGTGTTGCGTGGACACGCTGCTGTCCAGGTGGTACCGTGAGATCACATTCCGTCCCGCCTGACCGCCCCCAGACGAGACTAGTCGAGGAYGGCCCGAAGTCTGGGTGACAACCTCGGACCCACTCCCGTTGGCCCGAGGAGAATGGGCCCTTGGCTCCAGCTGGCTGCCTCCGTTGCCGCCTGAAGTGCTGTTTTGGGTCCCTTTCACGCTGAGTTTTCGGCTTATCTTCATGGAGATCTTCCTAACAGTACGTGGAGACTTGATCTTGTCTGGGAAGGACCAGTTGATTGAGCTGCTCTTCTTGGTTGGGTTGGGGCTTGAAGGAGGGGAGAAGCCAACAGCGCTGGGCAGGTCAAGACCATCTAGAAAAAAAATAACAAGGCAAGAGAAAAACTTAATTAAAAGTAAAGTTTAACTGGAATCCGGGGGCAAGATGGCAGAGGAGTGAGACGTGTGTCGCGTGGCTCCCGCTCCGACTTGTTCTGTTTGTGGTTCTATACTAAATGTCATTGCTGTTTTGAACATTTGGTCCGTCCGGACTTGACCCCTGAGTGATTCTTGCCTGGAAGAATAGAAGAATGGCGACAAACTCGAGGAAAAGCAAATATTCTAGCTYGACRGCTGYTAGGCCCGACGCMGCCCCGGAGCAGACTGCAGCTAGGACCGGACTTTCGGCGCCCCCCTCTCCCTACCGCAGTGAGGCGGACGCACTCTCCTTGAAGTCTGACATTCTTGCCACTATAAAAACCGATCTCTCAGTTGTGATCAAATCTGAAATTAAAGCGGCTCTGGCTGAAGAGTTTACTCTTATTAAAGGGGAGCTACAAGCGGTGAGAGCGGAGGTGGCTAACGGCACAACGCTACTGCGCACAGATCTGGACCACCTTAAGAAGAGCGTTCAAGAGGTGGAGGACGGCTTGTCAAACTGGTCCGATGTGGTTGTTAATCTACGCACCACCGTGTTGGAACTGAAAGAAGAAGTCGGTGGGCTCAAAAGGAAGTGTGACAATATGGAAGGGCGCATGAGAAGGTGCAATGTGCGGATTATTGGAGTTCCTGAAACGCCAGAATCCAGCTCCACTTCAGCAGTGGCTAAACTGCTAGCAGAGGTTCTTTAGATGGATAAAGAGCCACTGGTTGACCGAGCCCATCGCTCTCCAGGTGGAAACAGGTCAGGCGATAAGCCGCGGGTTATTGTTGCTAAGCTACACTATTATCAAGAATGTGTGGCAATACTGCATCGGGCTCGGAGTCGTGGTCCTCTTCGTTTTAAAGAGGCACTGATCACCATCACATCTGACTACACTACGGCTGTGGCCAAGGCTCGAGCCGCGTTTACGGAGGTGAGGAGGCTTCTTCGCAACCGACGTGATGTTCACTATGGCTTGCTTTTTCCTGCAAGGCTTCGCATCTCTCATGGGGAGGAAAGCAAGGAGTTCCTGGATGCCAATAAAGCAATGGACTACATTAAGAAGAGGATCATCTCGGCGACGGACAATGAGGACCGGCATTGACTGCAGGTCCAACTCTCATCGATCCATTATGACTGTCAGGTTGTAATGAACCTTTCAACTTTATGTCCCACGTTATATCTTGAT